AAGGAAGGCAGATTGTCTCTTGCATCTTAACACATGCATTAACTAGGGCTTTTATGAATGTGAGCCCTTTGATCTTGCTCCTGGTGGTTGAATTGTCCTGATTACCGCTGGTCTGTATGGAGGCCTCTCGGAAGCCTCCGGCACCCGCATAGCGATGGGTGCCCAGGCCTGCGGCTGGCCGAGGGGCTTGGTTCAGCCGTGTGCCTGATGACCTCTCAATGAGCTGTTCTTAGGATCCTGGGAGTCTTCAGAGGCACCCACCCCGGACGGAGCGGTTTCTGCAGTTACGGATGAGGAGGGTGCAGGGGGCCGGAAGTCATGGGGAAGGGCCTGAACATCACACGGGCTTCTTTCTCAAGCAGCTAGCTGTCTCCAAATTTGGTTTGTGACTTCGGCCTTTCTTCTTTCTCCACAGCATCTGGAGAGGGCCCAACGTGAACTGTGTAGACAGTACGGGGTACACCCCCCTGCACCACGCTGCTCTGAATGGCCACAGGTAAGTACTGACCTGCTGCCTTCCACCCACCCTTCCATGCAGGCCTCCTGCCTTTGGGTTCCTATGAAGGATTACTGAGCAGCCGCGCTGAGAAAAACAAACTGAATTTAGCCCAGCATTCCCGAATCTCTCTTTAGTGTGTAACTACTTGAACATCCTTCCCCACTCCCCCCTCAAAAGGCTGAGCCGAAGGTTGAGTTTTACCTTCCTTCGGTGCCCTCCGCCCCGCCCCCCGAAATGTGCAGTGCCACAGTCATCTGTGTGAGCATCAACTTGGGGGCAGAAAGGGCTGGAGCAGCTGTCAGGGAACAGCCCCTCTACACACTGAAAATGGATGGGTTGGTTCTGGGAACCTTTCCTTCTATTAAGTAGTTACTTATTTACTTTTGCCATTTTTCCTCATGGGCAGTAAGACCTATTTTTAAGGAAAGAAACACATGAAAAATAAGGCCTGTTTAAATCTCTGACATACAGAGAGGTTATTGGGATTGGGTGGGCTGTGTGGAGAGTTCCTGGAGGTGTGCTTGGGGGTTGGGAGAAGAAGGCGTCGGTTTAAATGATTGGCAGCTGAAAGAGGGCGCTGCCCATCAGGTAAGGAGACTGAGGGCTCTGCCAGGGGCAGGCGCCATGTGGGGTACAGTGAATAGGCCCGCCAGGATGTGGGAGAATGGGAACCAGGCCGTCACAGAATAGAGAGAGATTGGCACATACCCTGTGAGATGAGCGAAGAAGTTTAGCTTTTAGGAGGAGGGATTATTGGAACCAGTTTAGATTCTTCCGAACCAGAGCAGGGCCGCACACCTTGTGGTTTTCTGTGTCACTGTACAGCCTTTGTCCAGGCCCAGTTGACTGATTGTTACCTCCTGCATTCCACTTTTCTCAGATACAGTGAATGTGGTCGTCACGTCCTTTCTGTGCCATTTTCGACAAAGCTGACAAGAAATATGTAGAGACCCCGCCCCCTTAAATAGTGGGGTGACCTGAATTAAAGTGGATCTTGAACTTAAAAGACTAGCTTGTTAGCCAAGCTGATCTCCAGATGCTGTTTTTATTTACAGTCGGGCTTTTCTCCGGCCTTGTGCATGGGGATGACTGTACATTTGTAGCTGCTTAATCAGTGGTGTCACCTAGAAGAATGCCAAGTCCTTCTTCCTGGATGTATGACATGAAAGCACAGGCGTCTGGCTCATGTTTGCAGCAGCTTTACTTCTGCTCTGCCTGGCCACTTCAGCTCCCACACACTGAGCGCTCTGAAGCAGCGGTCGCTGATGGGTGGTCCGCGGACCAGAGGTCCGAAAGGTTGGCGACCGCTGCTCCGAATAATGTGGTGGATGATGATATTTGTCTTGCATGACGTTGATGTAAATTCTGTCCCTGGATGCTATTTAAACATCACAAACAAGGAGACATTGCAAAGCTTAGACAAGGGGACCGGACGTTTTCAGAGTAATGGAAAATGGATGGGTTACTGAGATAAACAGGGAGGCGAAGAGCCAGCGTTGTGGGACACGGGACGGTTCGGCCGCATGCCCGCAACTGTGCAGAGTAGCCCCTGGAATAAAAGGAAGAGGCTGGGCATGAGCTCGGGTGGACGGGGAGCCAGATGAGGTACCAGCTGTGCAACGCTTTGTGCTGTGCACGTGTGTGAAGAGCCGTTGGTGGGAAAGACTTGTGGGTTCTGCAAACTCATAACTGACCTTTGCCTTCCAGGGATGTGGTCGAGGTCCTTCTGAGGAACGACGCGCTGACCAACGTGGCCGACTCCAAAGGCTGTTACCCTCTGCACTTGGCAGCCTGGAAAGGAGACGCCCAGATCGTGCGGTTGCTCATCCATCAAGGGCCCTCTCACACCAGAGTCAATGAGCAGGTTGGAAGGGAGGGAAGCGTGCTTCCATTCAGCCGCAGCCAAGACCTCGCGGCCATCGCCGCTGCAGTCCCTTAGCTCAGACCCCAGGCACCGGCTCTCCCAGGCCCAGGGGTGGCTGCCTCCTCTCAGCACCACACCTCTTAGTGCATCGAGGAGATCCCATTCCATGAGATGCATTTTATATGCACGTGAATCATGCAGGCGTGGAATAACACTAACAGGAACATAAATACTAACCTTGTGCAAAATTGGAAATAATGCGAATTCTGCAAAACTGCTTAGCGTCTGTTTCAAGCTGGCGGGCTTAGTTAATTGCAGCTCGTGCTTATGCCACTGACACGGCATCGCGACTGCAGCCGGTAAGCACGTCTCCGTGCGTGAGTACCGTGCGAGCCCTGCTGCTGTTTTACACGAGGCAGCACTCGCAGCCCAGGAAGGCCCGAGCCTGGTGCAAGCGAGCTCCCAGACACGGCGGTGGGGGCCGGGGGTCTTCACGGAATGCAGAGCATGTCCCTGGCGCCCTCTAATGTTAATTTAAGAGGGAGCATGCTGTGACAAAGCAGAGGTAATTCTTAGAAAATAAAAAGGCAGCGTTTGAGTGAAAATACCTCACAGTGGCCAGGGACTTAGGAAAGTTACTATTGCTTTGGGAAAGTTACACTCGAATTATGCATGTTCTAGACAGGCCTCCTGTAAAATGCCCTAACGTTTGGGTCTGAGAGGAGATGGGCTTTCCCTATAAGACAAGCCATTCTGCTCTCCTCCTCTTTGCTCAGCACTGAAGCAGATACTTAGTTGCTTGAATGAGAGAAGCTGCTCATCCTCGCTGAGTGTGGGGTTATTTTCCTAATGCCTCTGCTGAGAGCAGATTGTTAAACTACCTGTATGACCAGATCAGGGTTATTCCTCTAAAAGGAAGGGGTGACTCGCAGAGCCATCTGTCAGTGAGGCCACGCACGCTCCCTCCGTGCGCTGTTCAGGCACGACTGGGTTGGGGGCAGCTTCACCCCGGGGCGCGAGAACCTGGGCCAGGGCTCCCATGTCCCCATCTAGAGAGTGTGTGTGTGGAGCTGTTAATCGGCCTCCCGTCCCCTCCTGGGCTGTACTTTTTGGTGAGCAACAGACATTTAAAGTAATCAGTGAGGATGTTTGTTTTTATAACATTAGAATTGAAAGTGTTCTCTGTAGAATCTAAATGCACCTTACTCCTCCTGGCTAAAGTGATTGTAACTTTTCTTATCTGGAGGAACTTTGTAAGGAAGTTTGCTGTTAAGTAATATTCCTCAGTGTTGGAAAAAACCAGTCAGCCATTGAAGTCCTTCTCATTGAAAAACATTTCAGCAGCCGTCTCTAAGCCTCTGCTCACGTCTGCCTTGGAACACAGCCGCTTGGACTTCTGAGCCACTTGAGTGTGCTAGCTTGTCCTGCTCACAGCTGCCGCCCCCCCCCCCCCCCCAAGGCTTTAGCCTTTGGGGGGACACAGCCCAGTGCTTTGAGGGCGGGGGTGGCAGGGGGGTGGGGCAGGGGGTGGGAAAGCTGCCGGAGGTTGAAGAACCTAATGGATCTAGGGAGGTTCAAGCACTGCATCGACTTCTGTAATTTCCATGACTGTGGGTTCAGCTGGATGCTTGGATAAGAGGGGTGACGCCTGCCGAGGCCTGGAGATCATCTTCCCCATTAACTTCCCTTCGGGCACCCGGAGAGTGGTCCCCGTTGTGCTAGTGTTGGGCCCCTCGGGGCTGTGCAATTGCTTTGATGTGTTTCATCCATTTCATCATCACCTTTTCTTTTCCTCTCCTTTTTGTAGAATGCTCTTGAGATCAAAGAACTCAAAAAGCACGGCCCCTTTGACCCTTATATCAATGCCAAGGTGTGTACTTTGCTGTCAGGGTTTCTCTGCATCATTTCTCCTCGCTGTGCTTTCTCCTGGGTCCCCTCGCTTCCCTCTGGCTCCTCGGGTTCCTCACCCTGGTGTCTGCTTCTGCCTCGGCCTGTCTGTCTGGGAGTGGAAAATGCAGCTTCCAGGGGCGTGGTTTTGCTTTAAAATCCATCCTAATTCTGGAAGGCGGGTGCTTTTTCTGGAATGTCTGAAAAGCATACAAGTGGCAGAATTGGGGAAGGAGATGGGGCCATATATTTGCATAACTTGCTATTGTATTTCTAACATTTAAATTCAAAAAAGAAAAATGTCAAACACATGAGCTTATTTTTTATGAAGCACAGAAAAAATGAGTAGGTTTTATTTCCTGGATTAAATTTTTTTAGTCTGAGTTCTATTTTCTCTTGAAATGGAATCTGGTTTTCGAGAGCTTGTGGCAGGCAGAGGGAGGTGTGGGCGACAGGCATGGTGGCTTGTGCCCCGCAGTTCCTTGGGTTCGTGCATTTTTGCCTGGGACTGTAAAGCCGCCATTCCTCTCCCAGACGGTCACGCTTGGCCATTGGGAGGCTCTGAAACAGGTCATGGAGTGGCCAGGCCAAGCAGGGCAGTTAGTTGCATTGTCTCCCTCCCGTGAGGCTGGGCAACCTTGCTGCCCGCAGCCCTCGCCATGTGGTGGCCGAGGGTGGTGGTGGTGGTGGCGGCGGCGGTCGCCTCTTCCTCAGCGCTCTCACCTGCTGTGTTTGGTCTGAGTTTTCGTTCGGGTGAGATTTGCTGATTGGCAGCAATCTGGTATGTGGTTGTCACTGCCTTTTTCTTGCTGTGAAATGCCGTCAGGGAAGGAGACGGACGGTGCTTCTGCAGGCACACCGTGCTTTCCTCTGAGAAACGCTGACTCAGCACATGCAGCCGCTGCCGGCTGGACGGGGGCCGCCTGCCGTTGGGCCTTGACGGTGGGGAAGCAGTTTGATCTGGGAGTGGAACACATTAGCTTTTGTTTGGGGCCACTCTTTAAATTCCGTCTTCTGATCTTCAAAATAGAAGTGACTCTGTCCTAGTTTTCTTCTCTTCTTGAAGGTGGTGTGGTAGAGTGAGGCCTCCCACAGGTCACCGCCTCTCCAGTCGGGCTTGCGTTTAAATTCTGTGCTACCACGTACCTGGTTTTGTTGACTTGAACAAGTTACTTTCTCTGAGCCTCGGTTTCCTCTTCTGTAAGGTGGGGAATGCCATCTGCTTTGCTGGGTTGTTTTGGAGTTTAAGATAATGCACATGAAGTATGACTATCTGGTCAGTAGTACTATTGGGGGCCCTCCCTTAAAAAGGAATGTATAAGGTGGTGTTTCTGAAATGGCAGTTTGGAGTTTGTTCCTTGTTCCTCGTAGGTTTTGTTGGGGGAGGCACCTTGAGCTGATTGGTTTCCCTTCTGTGATTCCGTGGTTGGTTAGCTTACGAAGCTGATTAAAGGGCCGTACTTGGTTTTGAAAGCACATTTTCCTATCCCTCGATTCTACTCACATAAAAGGAAGTCTACATGGAATAAGAGTGTACTTCTCTATTTGGAAATACTGTCCTTTGCCTCTGCCTTTCCCTGCCCCCGCCCCAGGGCAACGGATGCAAAGGCCTCAAGGGATAAAGCTATTTGGGCGCTAAGAATACAAACTCCTCTTGGGCTGACTTGACTCTGAGCTCCCTAGTTTATATCCTCACCCCATAGGTTTTTATTGACCTGGCTTGTGTCTAGGAGTTGTTTTGCTAAAGGACTTTTTAAAAAATATATGTTTTTACTGATAGAAGAAAGGAGAGAGAGAGAGAGAGAGAGAGAGAGAGAGAGAGAGAGAGAGAGAAAGAGAAAGAAACATCAGTGATGAGAGAGAATCATTGATCAGCTGCCTCCTGCATGTCCTCTACTGGGGATCGAGCCTGCAACCCAGGCATGTGCCCTGACTGGGAATCGAACTGTGACCTCCTGGTTCATGGGCTGACACTCATGCTGTCCTGACTGCTAAAGAACTTTTGCTGCTAAATCATATCAGGCACCCGTCTCAGGGGCCTTTCTGGGGAGCGGAGGTAGTTTTCATGAGCTTTCATCTCCACCTTCCCTTTTTCACAAGTCAGTATAACCCAGTCCAAACCTAAGTCCTTAGCTAAGATGGAACCATTGAAATTGTTTTTCCCTTTTACTAGTACAATAATTTTAACTTAGTCTGAATATCATAAGATGAGCAACAATCAAATTGTTTTAGGGTAGATCTATTTTTCTATTCACTTAAAAATAATTTAATCTTAGCCTGGCAAGTAATCTCAATGGTTAGAGCATCAGCCCATACACTGCAGGGTCTCGGAGTTGATTCCTGGTCAAGGGCACGTGTTTAGGTTGCAGGTTTGATCCCCAGACCCAGTTGGGTGCATGCAGGAGTCTCTCTCACATCGATGTTTCTCTCTTTCTCTCTCCCTCCTACCACCCTCCCTTCCACTCTCTCTTTAAAAAAAATTGTGGTATTTCAGAAATATCACATTATACATTCCTTTTTAAATGGAAAAAACATCCTTGGGTGCAGATTAAAGATTAAAAAATAATAATTTAATCTTAGAGCTTGAAGAGACCTGGAAGTTATCTAGACCAGAGGTCGCCAACCTTTCGAACCTCACGGACCACCAGTGGTCTGCGGACCACCGGTTGGCGACCACTGACCTAGACCAGTTGTCCCCACGTGCTATTCAGCTTGTCTGGTTGCATCAGAATCATCTAGCAAGCTTTTATTAAACTTTTATTTTAAAAAATTTCCACCTTGCAAAAGTTGCAAGAATAATTCAGTGAACTGCACTGTGCTCTCCTAGATTAACCAGTTGTTAGCATTTTGTCATATTAGCATGCCCCTCCCATATATGTTGCTGTTGTTATAGTTGATGATGGACTATTTGAAATTATGACATCAGAGCCTTTAGCCCCAAATACTTGAGCACGTATCTCCTAAGAATGAGGACATTCACTTGTATAACCATAATGCAATGATCAAATTCAGAAAGTTCAACGTTCATTTAATGCTGTTATCCAATATAGAATCCATGTTCAAATTTCACTAATTGGCTCAATAATGTCCTTTAGAGCAGCGGTTGCCAACTGGTGGTCCGTGAGGTCTGAAAGGTTGGCGACCGCTGCTTTAGAGCAGTTTTTTTTCCCCCGGTCGAGGATCCAATCCAGGATCACACGTGACCCGGAACAGCTCCTCAGCCTTCCACTGTGTGACAGTTTGAAGAGTGTGGGCCCATTTTGTTGACTGTCCACCAGTTTGCGTTGGTCGGATACCCTCGTTCCGAGTGTAGGTTTATGGCGGGGAACCTCGGGAAATGCCATGTCTCTCCTGTTTAGTGTGCCACAGCACAGGCACGGCTGGCAGTCTGTCTCACCCCTGATGGTGGCGAACGAGTGCTTGGTGAGTGGGTGCCTGCCTGGTTGGTAAGCTTTTTTTTTTTTTTTTTTAATATGTTTTTATGATTTCAGAGAGGAAGGGAGAGGGAGAGAGAGAGAAACTTCAATGATGAGAGAGAATCATTGATTGGCTGCATTCTCCCTCCTGGGAATCGAGCCCATGTGCTCTGACTGGGAATCGAACCGTGACCTCCTGGTTCATAGGTTGATGCTCAACCACTGAGCCAAGCTTGCTGGGCTTGGTAAGCTTTTTAATAATAGTTTTCCTGGGCTTTACCCTCTGAGGTGCTGCCTTGGTGAGTCTGGGGTGGGGCTTAGTATTAATTACTTTAATTCCTAAACGAAGCCAGGTAGAGAACCACTGATGTGAGCTAACTCCACCTAGAGCGGGAATCTTCTCTCACCTCAGAGGTGGCCATCTACCTATGGTTGTTTGTTTGTTTGTTTCTCCTAGTAACAAGCAAAACTACTGCTTGGCAGCCTCTTTCAGGATTCCACTGAGTTTTGGTTGTTTGACATCTGTCTTCCTAAACCTTCATCTCTCGGTCAGAGCCTGCCTTCCACGTGGCGGGCTCAGTACACACGTTTCTCCTGCATCTTCTGAATCTCAGTAGACCCAGTTTGTCCTTTTGTTCCAGTTTTGGTCCATTTCTCGAGCCTGTACCATTGTCGCTACAGAGAGCTGCCTCCCAGGTGTCCCCAGGCTCGGCGTCTGTCCGCAGCGCACGGAGTGCAGCTGAGTGCGATCTCGGCCGGGAACTGATGGTTCTGAATAGTGCCAAGGAGAGAAAGGCCATGGAAATGTAATGTTTCTGTGTGGTTGTGTGCTGCTTGTAGTGTGTGTGTGTGTGTGTGTGTGTGTGTGTGTGTGTGTGTAAACGCATGCATCGAATGGATTTACACATCGAATGGGGTCTCCAGGTATAAAGGATATGAGGGATCGCTTTTGTCTTAGAGGTACTGGCCATATATAGCAAGGAAAATGAAAGTGTTTCTTAAGATGGGCAGGAATGGAGAGTTTGTGCAGAGATTTTGGAGAAAATTGGGGTATTTCATCGCAGTCCCCTTCCTCAGTCCAGATTCATAGTAAAATGGTCTAGGAGACTCTTGAGGTGTCGCGAGCACCAGTGCTACAATTTGGAAGGTGTGGGAGAGAAGGTTCCAGGCGGTTAGAAGTCTGCGCTCCTTGGAAACCCTCCCCTCTTGATCCCCTCTTGAGGGATCAGCACGTAGTGCCTTCCTGCCCTGATGGCTGTCAGGCTCACGGGGAAGCAATAGGAGGAGCTCACGGTGATGCCTGATGCCTGTGGTCAGTAGTCGCGAGATGTGCTCACCACAGACATAAACTCCAGATTATCGTGGTCACCAGACCATGTCTGGCGAGGCCGAAACACAGGGAGATGCTTCCTGCTGCGTCCGAGCGTGCCGTGCTGCGGGGATGTGGTCAGGCCGCTTCAGCAGGGGCGGGGACTGCCTGGGAGTGACCACCCTTCCCTGCAGGGCGGCTTTGTGGCAGCTGCCTTCATTCTGGCAACAACGAGACGAAACTAAACGAACAGGGAGACTGATTTGCTGCTGGACAGTGTAGAGTTTCACAGTTGTTCAGGCCCTCCTGGCATGCTTTTCACAAAATCAAGGACAGATTATTCTGGTTGTTGGGAGACAACTTGGAGATAGAAGAGACAACCGTGTCTGCTTCGGAGTAAACAAGGCCTTGTGGGCTGGGGTTTGAACAGGGACAAGCTGGCTTCCTGGGCGCTTGCTGTCACGCTGGCCTTGCGATGTAGCTCTGATAGGCCTCCCGCAGGGTCGCGCTGCAGGAAGCGGCTGTGGGTCTTGTGGATGTGGCCGTCCTCTCAGCATGAGACGGTGCAGGGACAGCTCCAGGTTTGCTCGGGCAGCTCATGCCATAGCTTCCTAGCATTGCGCGTTCCAAATGCGTGTCCTAAATGGCTGGTTTGGCTCAGGGAACCAAGGATTTGCTCCCTCCCGTGTGTCCCCTTCCCTGCAGACATTTAGGTTGACGTGGAGTTGCCCTGGGGGAGTGAGGGCCGCACGCCTCAGCTGCTGCTCTCCCGAACCCCTTCGAGCTCAGTGCCCGTCCTCTGTTTATCTGTGCATTTATCTCGCATGTGGCTCCTGCTACTGCCCTTTCTGTCCTTATTTCATTTTTAAGTTTCTCTGCTCGTTCTGGCCTCTTGGGGCCTTGCTCCCCACAGCTCTGGATCTATGTGGTGCAGCCAGAAAAAATGATGCAGTCAGATGCCAGACCAAAAGCAGATGAATTGCTTGCATGTTAGGGTGACTCCTTAGCCTGTTACTTTCCCCTCATTAATTGACTGAAAGCAGTTGTGGGAACATTTACTTTTTATCTCTAGGCCACTGAAAGGTGCATAATATTGACTTGGGCAAACCCCTCGGAAGCTTTGTTTCCCTGAAGAAGCTTCCGGGTGAATTCAGGAATCGCAGAATCTCGTGGGAGAATTACTTTCATCAGTGCTCCTCGAAAGGAAGGGACATGGAGATCATTTATTCTTGCTCTAATGATACATCGTCAGTTGTAATAAAAGAAAGAACATCGTTGGAATAGTTAATAGTTTCTGATGATTGAAAAAGCACAAACTTCTCCTGTTTTATCCCAGGTTCTACCTTTAGTTTGAAGCACATGGGCTTAGAGGGCCGGGGGTGTCCATTTGAGTGGATGGTTACAATGTTGAATATTTTGCACCTTTCACGCAGCTTTCTGGTGTTGGATGGGATCTGTCACGTAGAAACGCTTCCCCGCTGCGGACTCTGCGCGCACTGGCTGGTGCAGGCAGCACCGGGGCCCTGCTCCTCTGTGACTGACCTCAAGTGCCTCCCTCCCCTGGAGACGGCTGCTGGCTGGCATCGCCAGAGTGGTTTTTGGTGTTCTGCTCTGTTGCTTTCGCTGTCGCTTTCGCTGTCGGCTGATTTATTTGCATGCAAGAAGCTAAGCACATGACACACTCTTCAAAACATGTGTGTGAAGCAGTGGATAATCAGAACCACAGGGTTGAGTAAATATAAATTGTAAAACCAGTTGAAGTTTAAAATGAGTCATCAGTGGCAGTAATATTATTGGCATTATTGGCATTTGTCTGTGCCACAGTCCCCGTCACTCCCGAGCTGGGAGTCCCCCCTCCAGCACAGAGGTGGCCGCTCCCGGCTTGCAGCACCTGGGGAAGAGGTGGCTGTTGGAGCAGTCGGCCTTGTTCCCTGGGGAGTACCTCTGGATTCTGACTGACTTCTCTTAGTCCCCAAGTATTGCTGCTGTTTTTCTCATTTAAATTTCAATGGTTTTATGGGTGATTGTCCCAGTCGCAGGCCCCTCTGCCAGTCACCTTTCTGATGTGATCTGCTTGTTAACTCTTTAGAACAATGACAACGAGACGGCCCTGCATTGCGCAGCGCAGTACGGCCACACGGAGGTGGTGAAGGTCCTCCTGGAGGAGCTCACGGACCCCACGATGCGCAACAACAAGTTCGAGACCCCCCTGGACCTGGCCGCGCTCTACGGGCGGCTGGAGGTGGTGAAGATGCTCCTCAACGCGCACCCCAACCTCCTGAGCTGCAACACTAAGAAGCATACCCCCCTGCACCTGGCGGCCAGGAACGGCCACAGGGCCGTGGTCCAGGTGCTCCTGGACGCGGGCATGGACAGCAACTACCAGGTAGCGGCCTGAGGACCTCCCGGGCTCCGGGACTTAGTCGTTTCGGAAAAGGCACAGTGCGTGCTGCTGGGCTGTCTCTTAGCACGTTTGCACCACGTGTCAGACGCTTCCATTTGTTGGCTCGTTTTACTGGGAGGCTTTAGAGACCAATAAACTCCCCGAGTGAGGCTGTTGTTTTTTGTTTCTTTCCAGGGGTAATATGTAGTCATTACACCCTGAAAAGAAGTGATCATGGATGAACCCTCGAGATTATAAACGTTTCATTATCTCCCTCCACCCGAGTCTCGCTGCACGTCAGCCCCTCCAGGCCCCTTGGCCGGGCTTTGCCGACGGGAGACAGCGTTTCCCTTGCCGGTTCGCTGTCGTTCCTCAGGCTTCGCCTTGACCAGACCTCCCTGGAAGGAGTATTTTCCCCTGCGTTTTCCTTAGGACCCCACCCACCCAGGAAGGTGGAGTTCTGGGGAGTCTTACCCAGACATGGCTCCACCGGCAGCTGTGTGTGGCCTGCTGGTGGCACAGCAAACCCCTGAGGGCCAGGCCACGCTCGTGGTTTTGGAATCCAGACAAGAAAAATGGGAACGATAACGACAGGACTCTGCGTGGTTTATTTTATCTTCCCGCCCCTTCTTGTCTCTGTCTCCGTCCCGTTTGTCGTGTGTGGCCACGCCAAACCGGGGCGGCCGCTGTCCTGACGACACCCGCTCTGCGCTCTCGTTTGCTTTCCAGACGGAGAAGGGCAGTGCTTTGCATGAGGCCGCTTTGTTTGGCAAGACCGATGTGGTGCACATCCTGCTGGCCGCAGGTGAGGTCGGCAGCGCAGGGTCCGCACGCATGCAGGGCCGGGCTGCTGTCCCCGGCCTCCCCAGAGGGGACTTCTGCTGGCTGCACTTGAACCCATTGTATGTATGTCTCCACTGGTTGATTGCAAGTGTGCGAATTGTTCATGAATAGCTGGATTAAATGGCTTTGGATGAAAAATGTAGGGTGTGCGGCTGGGAGCGTTAGGTGTCCTGGAATTGGACCCTCTTGGAGGCTGACTTGCAAATGCTCACGCCGCTGGTCCACCTGGTTTGCCTTTCCAGGAATTGATGTCAACATAAAAGATCACCGAGGACTGACCGCCCTGGACACGGTCCGGGAACTGCCTTCTCAGAAGAGCCAGCACATAGCAGCGCTCATTGAAGGTATCCGTCCAGCTCCCTGCCGGGGACACCAGGACATGCTACACGCTGGCCAGACCGTGGCATTTGTATTTGGTGCAGCTATTTTTTTTTTTAATCTTTCCATGTAGATCACATGACTGGAAAAAGAAGTGCAAAAGAGGCAGAGAAAACTCCCACACCCCAGCCACCTCTCATCTCCAATGCGGACTCCATATCCCAGAAGTCTCAGGGTAAGGCAGCTCTTCTGTGGAGGGCGCCCATTGAGAAGTTGGACCTTCTTCAGCAGAACGGAAAATCTTAATTTAAATAACAATTTCAGGGAGTTAGGAGGACTTACGTGCACATTCACGTTCTTTTCTTCCTCCAACTGTATGAAGCTGTTCTGGACACTGCTGGGCCTTCGGCAGCAGCCCCTTCCTGCCTACTTTATTGCATTCTCTGCGTTCACAGGTGGCTCCGTGAGATCTGAGATGGGTAGTAGGCAGGACAGTCTCAAGATGAAGTCAGGTCTCAGTGAAACCTTTTCCTAGTGTCGAGCAGTTGGCTCTTGAGCGTGGTCAGTGTGTAACGAGCCGCATGCGGTTGGTAGCTGTGTGCATGCAGATTTGGGTAGTATGTCATCTGGCCAGTGAATGTGGTTGGGTGCTCCGTTCCTGCCAGGATCCCCCTTCTCAGGTGTATTGGGCCGCCTTTGGGGCCCTGGGCGTGATGCATGAGAAACACAAAACACGGAGCGACACTGGCCCAGATGCAAATGGCAATGGAGAGGCTGGGGGAGCAGGACAGCCAGGCAGCACGGGAGGGGCTGCAGGAGCAGAGACGTGGATGATGGTGCTCAGTCTGGCTTCACTGCCGGGGCCGTGCCCTTCTCCCTGTCACACTTTTTAACTTTTATTTTATTTTTATTGATTTCAGAGAGGAAAGGAGAGGGAGAGGGAGAGATAGAAACATCAATGATGAGAGAGAATCATTGATTGACTGCCTCCTGCATGCCCCACACTGGGGATCAAGACCAAAACCCAGGCATATGCCCTGTTTGGGAATCGAACCCTGACCTCCTGGTTCATAGGTCAAGTCTCAACCACTGAGCCATGCTGGCCAGTCGTGTCACATTTTTTTTCTGACCTCCTAATCTTTTATTTTTTTAAAAAAAAATATATTTTATTGATTTTTTACAGAGAGGAAGGGAGAGAGATAGAGAGTCAGAAACATCGATGAGAGAGAAACACCGATCAGCTGCCTCCTGCACATTTCCTACTGGGGATGTGCCCGCAACCAAGGTACATGCCCTTGACCGGATCGAACCTGGGACCTCTCAGTCCGCAGCCCAACGCTCTATCCACTGAGCCAAATCGGTTTCGGCCTGACCTCCTAATCGTTTAGTAATGGGGGTTAGGAGTTCCCTCAGCTCTTAGCATTCAGTGGTTTTACACTTACAGTTTTTGTTTTCTTTATATCATATGAAGTTTCTTCCTTCCTTCCTCCCCCCCCTTCCTTTTTTTCCTCACCCAAAGATATTTTTCCATTGATTTTTTAGAGAGAGTGGGAGAGGGAAAGACAGAGAGAAATATTGATGTGAGAGAAACACATTGATTGGTTGCCTCCTGCACGACACCCGACCAGAGCCTGCAACTGTGGTACGTGCCTTTGACCAGAATCGTACCTGGGACCCTTCGGTCCGCAGGCTGACGCTCTATCCACTGAGCCAAACCGGCTAGGGTTACACTTACAGTTTTGACTTTGCAAGCAACCCAGAGATCCCTGGTCTGTAAGGGTGGGTCACAGATTTGGATCTGGGCCCCCGAGGCTCCGAGTTATCCCCAAGGGAGGCTCACAGCGAGGCGCCGCCAGCTCAGACAGGGCCGCCGCCTCCTGGAGCACATGGAGCTGCTTAGTAAGAATTTCAAGGCTTACTCACATTTCTTTTTATTTTTTTTTATTTTTTTTATTTTATTGATTTTTTACAGAGAGGAAGGGAGAGGGATAATGAGTCAGAAACATCGATGAGAGAGAAACATAGACCAGCTGCCTCCTGCACGCCCCCTACTGGGGATGTGCCCGCAATCAAGGTACATGCCCTTGACCGGAATCGAACCCGGGACCCTTCAGTCTGCAGGCCGACGCTCTATCCACTGAGCCAAACCGGTTTGGCCTTACTCACATTTCTTTCGTTGTACTTTGCTGCATTTTCTGGTTTAGGTTTATGTTACCCTGGGAACTTGTGAAGATCTTGGGAGATACCCTCAGCGATATCAAGAGTTGTCCATATTGAATTAGAGGGAAATCTGCCCCCTTCTTGGTGTAAAAAGCAGGGAGGCCTGTGTGTGCTGCTCGTGGAGCAGCCCTGGCTCATGGTCCTGCTCTGGGTCCGCGATGAGCAGGCTTTGGGTTGTCGCAGAGCTTGGAAACGTGAGGCTGCTCTTCCATTGACCCTCCTGCCCTCTGACCTCCCCTTCAGGTGACGTGGAGAAAGCAGTGACTGAACTGATCATCGATTTTGACACAAGCACTGAAGAGGAAGGCCCCTACGAGGCGCTGTACAACGCCGTTTCCTGCCACTCGCTGGACAGCATGGCCAGCGGGCGGTCGTCCGACCGGGACTCCGTGAACAAGGAGGCTGAGGCCGCGGGAGTGAAGGCTGCTGGAGTGAGGCCTGTACGTGGCCGGGGCCTCAGCAGCCTGGGCTCTGTTGTCCCCTGGGCTCGCTGGGGTGCTGGGGGGGAGAGAGAGCTGTACCCTCGTGCCAGCTCGCACGGAGGCCTCCTGGGTTCTGCTGCGGCTCCATCGCGCGCAGTGTGCTTAAACCACAGGGCTCGTGGAGGTACCATTTTGGTTTTTCCAATTTCAATATAACCCGTTTGCATCTTTTTACTACTTTTTGGCCCTAGAGCAGTTTAAAGCATTTTGTGTGTGTTTAGCCTGAATGCTGCTCTGTGTTTGGGGTCCTTGTCATGCAGCCTGTTTTCTGTCTGGAGAGCAGTTCCTGCTGCAGCGAGTTCCTGTCCACCCTCAGTCACACCCCCTTCACTTGACCTCAGTGGTTACCCAGGTGGATTTCTGTGTCAGGGGCTGTAGCAAGGCTCAGCCAACATCGTGTGTATGGTGTGAGGCATTTCTGTTCTTCCTGGTTGTAATCGCTGTAGCATTGAGGACAGCCCTGAATTTTCCCTCAGGCCCACCCTCCTGTCTCACTAGTCTTTGGTGCTTGCGTCTGCTCTGGCCTCAGACGTTGTTCTCTAGCCGCCTTACCCCATCTTCTCCCAGACTCAGTGGTCCCACTGACCTTCCTGCGTTGCTGACACAGTAATCTGAAGTTTGAGCCCTGGGCGTTTACTAAATTGAGCCCTGGGCGTTTACTAAACTGGCCATTGCTCTAACAGGATCCTGGGGTAATCCCACCTCAGGCATCTGGCCACGTGTGAATTGTTTCTTCCTGTTGCAGAGGCTGGCTTTCCCTTTGGTCTGGATCTGCTGATGACCATTTGGATGGCCTTTTGGCTGCTAGGTGGTGCTGCTAGATGGTGCTGCTAGGGGATGCTGCTAGGTGATGCTGCTAAGTGGTGCTGCTAGATGGTGTTGCTAGGTGATGCTGCTAGGGGGTACTTTTAGGTGCTGCTGCTAGGTGCTGCTGCTAGGTGGTGTTTCTAGGTGCTGCTGCTAGGTGATGCTGCTAGGTGGTACTTCTAGGTGCTGCTGCTAGGTGATGCTGCTAGGTGCTGCTGCTAGGGGATGTTGCTAGATGGTGCTGTTAGGTTTTGCTAGGGGATGCTGCTAGATGGTGCTGCTAGGTGATATTGTAGGTGATGCTGCTAGGGGATGCTTGGGCTTCGGGGAATGCCCAGGGAGTGGCCTGGTGTTGCTTGGTGTTCTTTTGAGTTAGGTTCCTTGCCCTGCCCTGGAACAGACGCCGAATTTCCATTTGAAGCTTGGAAAGGCCGGCCAATCTTGTCGCAGCCCACCAGCGAGGGTGTGATCCAGGACTGTGGTAAACGTGTGAGTGGTGGAGGCAGTGCCTATGTGAGCACCGGGAGCATAGTGGCTCTGTGGACAGAACTGGTCTTTTCCGCTTCTTTCCCTGTTAGGAGCAAAGGAATTAAGCAGATCTACCTGTGGAGGAAGGCTTGCTTTCAGTGGTACTTACAGGTGATGCCCAGTAGAGGGAGCTGGAGGCTTTAAGCTTTGGATAGCCAAGTTCCTGTGGGACTTGGCTACTGATTTAGTCTCTTTGTTCCCTCTTCCTCTAGAAACCCAGCCTCCTAGGGTCCTTCTAAGTAGAAACGGATGCATTTGGGGTGCTGTGCTCTGCCATTTTCATTGGAGTATGTTGTGGATGTGCTACCTCCCTGGCTCTGGGTAACTAACTGTGGCCACCCGCCTGTTCTGTGCCTTGTAAGCACCAGGGATGGCGTGTATAAGTCAGCTCTGTACTCCCAGGCCCGGGCCAGCGCTTTGACGTTAGGAAAAGGATCATGCCTCCCTTTCCTGCCAGTGTCCCTGGTGCTCACCTCTTTCTTGTCTCCTTCAGGAAGCACAGCCTTGGGGGCCTTTGTTGTGTTTCTTTGTGTTTTTCCTCGGCTGTCTGTGTTCCAAGGTTGGGTAACAGTGCGGGTTATGGGCCTGCTGCTTTTTCTATCTCTTCCTTCCAAGGTGGCACCTCTGGAGCAAAGGGGTGGGGAATGGGACTTAGTGGAAACCTCATCTGAACTGCTTGGTTTGGCTTGAATGTGTGAACCTGCGGTGAAGTTGCTGCCACTGGGCCTCAGGTGTCCCAGGACTGTGGGAGGGCCGAGTTGTGGAGGTGGAGTACCGAGTGCTGAAGCACCTTTCAATGGAGAGATCATGGGTGCCAGATGCTAACCATCTCTGGCAGCTCCCAAAATGGGAGAACCATCTTTCCTCCAGGTCTCTCCGAGGCCCACAGGCTCAGCCTCCCCTCCGCCCTGACTTTAATGCTCCTGTTCTGGCAGCACAGGGAACTCGCCTGCCAGCCAACTCCCGTTCCGGCTCCACTGCCTTCCCCATGGAACACTGATGAGCAAGCTTAGGGTAGAAAGGACGTTGAAAGTCCCACGGGGACAATGGCAAGCTGCTCTTCAGTGTCCTTTCCCCGAAGACCCCTCTGTGTTCCTGAAATTGTCTGCCGGTGACCCCGCTGGTCCCTCTTGCTTCAGGGCAGGGCTGGCGCGCCAGGGCCACAGACAGCTGCCTCTGATGGTGAATAAAGTTTAATGGAACACTTTGTACCACAGCGGCAGAGCTGACTGCAAAGCCCAAAATATTTACTGTATGGCCCTTTAAGAAAAGGTTTGCCAGCCCCGCTCTAGGGCAGAGAACTGAGAAAGACTATTTTTTTAAATGGGCTGAGATGAGATAGGGTTTTCATATGCTAATGACACGTAATAGGATGGTGTGGCAGCGTGCGCAGGAATGGACCTGAGTGACTGGGTTGTCAGAGCTCCTTGACAAGTTGAGTTTTGGGCCTTGCTGTCTCCTCCTTTCACTGGAGGCAGCACGGATTTTCCTCGAGTTTCACGCCTCAGCCTCATGACGGACGTGTTCCGACAAGGCAGGTCTGTGATTTTAGTGCTGATATTTCTCACTGTGGTCAGGATAGGAAAGAGGTGTTTGTAATCTCCGGTATAAACATCAGAAAGCAAAGAGCGTGAGAACTGAAGTGTGTTGTGTGCAGAGTCTTTGTACAGATTCTAGACCTTGACTTTGGTCTCGCAGGGAAGTGCTTGGCCAAAGTCATTTTCATTTCCAAGGGCTAAGCTAAGAGTAGACCAAAAAGTTAGATACTTAAAAAAAGAGACGGTGAACGACTTCTTTTCTTGTCTGCAGAGGGAACGGCCACCGCCTCCCGCAAAGCCCCCGCCGGACGAGGAGGAGGAAGACCCCACGGACAAGAAGCTTTTTCCCCTGCCGGCTTCTGAGGTACAGGGTCAGGGTGTGTTCGATTTGTTGGAAAGTGCATCCGTGTGTGCTTAATGACTGTGCTTTCTCGTTTCTTATCGCCTCTTTGGATTAGCAAACCTGAATTGTGTATATCAGTAATGTGGAACAAGCCCTTTCAAACTCACTCTGAAGTACTAAGCAAAGAATTTTAATGGCGCCCCCTAGCGGCCAGCCACTGCTCCAGCCAGCGCCGAGCGGAGCCCAGCTGTCTCCTGGCTCCGGTGGGCTGACCAGTCGCACTTTGGCTTTTGCACCTTTTGCAGTGTGTTGTCTTTTGACATAAAGTCTAGAGTACCCCTGCTCGCTGCTCCCTGGACTGTGTCACATGAGTAGGTTTTGATGGTTTGTCCCAAATGGCTTACTTCTGTTTTTGCATTTTTTTCTCTTCATTTCATGTGAAGAGTCTGCACCAGGCCCATTGTGCAGAATGTGGCAGAATGTGACAGAATGTGAGAATCTTCTCACTTAGGTTTATGAAGAAGATCATATTTTCCTTTATCTTTCACCTTCAAAATGTTCCTTTAACTCTTCCTACCATTTAGAGAATGTTTATTGAGTATTTATTTAAAATATTACATAATATCAATAGTTTATTTTGTAGCTCTTCCTACCATTTAGAGAATGTTTATTGAGTATTTATTTAAAATATTACATAATATCAGCAGTTTATTTTGTAGCTCATTCAAAGCCCTGGTTTTCTTTATTTTAAATTTTAGCTAATATAAACTAGTCAGGTCTCATTCCTTTATCCCTAGAAGTAGGAATTAATTTTTTTTCACAGTATTGCCATGGACCATCCAGAAAAATGGGTTCTTTTGTTTAATACGAACGTATAGAACCAGAAGGATGGCTTTTAGTTTAGCGAAACGTATAAATGCAAGGAAGCCCTTTTAAGAATGTGAGTCAGTGTTGGAGATAGGAGATGATTGCTATGCTATGTACAAATTCTGTCCTTATTTCTTTCTATCCCTTAATTACAAAATGCTAATTAGCATGTCTCAACTAAGGGGTCTCTACAGTGACAGCCTCTGGGGTGATCAGACATGAGTACGTGCAGTCAGCCTGCGTGCTGTTATGTAGGTTTGCCTCATTGCTCCCTCTCTACAGGAGACGCCTGGTGATCGGGAGCATATTTGGCTGGGGGTGGGGCTCTGTAACAGGGACTTGAATTGAAATTCCTAAGGCGCAAGGATAAGGGCGAGGCTCTTAAAGTGTCGGATAATCAGGACTTTCTATTCTCCTGACTTTCTAGAGCAGACACTTTGGCGCTAATGCAGTGCCGAGAGGTGGGGAGAAACCTCCACGCTGACTCCGGATGGGAGACTCCGGCCATATGTCTCCCAGGACTTGCTCAGGGTAGCCTGGAACGCTGGGTCAGTTGGGCCACCAGAGTCCGTCTCGGAAGGCCGTGAGGGCCCGGCCTGGCTTGCCCAGTGATGGGCAAGTGTGTGAATGTAGAGGTGATGCATCTGGGTCACTGGCCTTTTAGTGATTAAGGCAGGTCCTGTTGGCTGTAATCAGAATGGATAGTCTTCTCCAAAAGTGGGCTTTTTTTTTGTTTTACTCTAGTCTTCACTGTTATTTATTTATTTATTTATTAAATCTTTCCTTTTTTTATCCTCACTTGAGGATATTTTTCCATTGATTTTTAGAGAGAGTGGCAGAGAGCCCAGCCGGCGTGGCTCAGTGGTTGAGTGTCGACCTATGAGCCGGGAGGTCATGGTTCGATTCCTGGTCAGCGCACATGCCCGGATTGCGGGTTCGATCCTCATTGTGGGGCGTGCAGGAGGCAGCCAATCAATGATTCTCATCATAGATGTTTCTAGCTCTCTCTCCCTCTCCCTTCCTCTCTGAAATCAATAAAAATATATTAGAGTGGAAGAGAGAGGGAAAGACAGAGAGAAATAATTGATGTGAGAGTAGCATATCCATTAGTTGCCTCCTGGATGCGCCCCGATCAAGGTCCAGGCCGGGGAGGAGCCTGCACCCAAGGTACATGCCCTTGACTGGAATCGAACCCAGGACCCTTTGGTCTGCAGGCTGACACATTATCCACTGAGCCAAACCAGCCAGGGCCATTTTTATACTCAAATTTTTACTACCCTAAACTTCATCTCCTAGGACAGTGGTCGGCAAACTGCAGCCCCTTGAGTGTGGCTCTTCCACAAAATACCACGTGCGGGTGCGCACATACAGTGGGATTGAAACTTTGTGGTCACACTCAAGGGGCCAAAGAGCTGCATGTAGCTTGCGAGCCGCAGTTTGCCGACCACTGTCCTAGGAGGCAGTGACTTCATCCAAGTTTAGACTTTTGATTTTGGCCAGCAGTCTTCCCCAGTGTTTGTGTCCTGGCTTGTCATTGTCAGGTGATCCAGGAGAGCTCGTCAGAGCACTGGTCCTTTAAACACATGCACCTGTGCTCGTGCACATCACATTCATGTGTCCGCCCACCAGGTGGGCTGCCAGCTGCACCGGGCTGACCGGGCACGTCTCTGGGCTCAGATGTGCTGAGCGTCATGGAAGTGGCAGCTGCTATGGTGTCTCTTCCCAGAAAGCTGCCCGCAGCCCAGCTGGCTGTCCCATTGGCCAGTTTGGTGGTAGTAGCATTTCTCCGCAGCAGGAATGTTGCTTTCTGCAGAGCGGAGAACGGGTGCGGTTGTGTGTTTCTGGCTTTGATTTATTGCCAGCCCTGGAAGAAGGGGGAGAAGATTAAGTAGTAATTTAGTGAAGAGCAGACTCCTTTCAGGTGGAAATCAGTTTCTGCCATACTCGCTGGGACACAGGGCTTCCTGAGTGGGCGCTGGGAAGCGGTTTATTGCTTTCTTGTGAGATGTTAGTCCCGGAGCTGGCAGGGGTCAGGACGAAGCAAAACTCTCACCCTGCCAGTTGTCTGGTATGAGTGGGGGCTCTCAGACATCTGAGGGGGACGAGTTCCAAACTGGACGGAGACATCAGACCTCCCGGGAAAAGTGGGGCCGGCTTGGTCCAGAGTCAGAGGGGTGGGTCTTATGGCCCAGCTCTGCTGGGAGCTCTCTGTGGAACCCCGGCAAGTCCCTAGACCTCTCTGGGGACTGGATTTCGGATTCTGCAGAATGAACGAGCTGGACCAGGTGCTCTCTAGCTGTGACGACCGGGGCGGGTCCTTCTCAGGGGCAGGCCGGGGTGCTTGAGAGCCCTCGCCCTGCAGGACACTCAGAGTCAGCGTCCAGCCCCTGCCACCCTGCGGGGGTGAGCCCCGGGTGTACACCTCCGGATGCAGGTTCCTGTCTGCGCAGCCTGTGGTATTAAGTTGACCTTGAATGAACTGCTTAATGGCCCCTCTTTGTTCCCTTAATTGTGTTCCTGGGAAGAAGCAGAGGAATAAGTAACAGGCAAATGGCTCTTGTGATGAAATAGCTTCTGGCTTCCAGGTGGCTCCTGCTCTGCCTCCCACAGCCTTGGTTAGGAGCTCTGGTCAGGCTCTCGAGGGGCGAGTGGCGGCCTTGTTACCATCCAGGGGCCGGCTCATTTCTCTGAGGCTGCGGGATCCTTGCCGTCTCCTTAGGCGGAACCCGGAGAGCTGTGCCTCCGCCAAGCAAAACCGAGATGAATCACACACCCGCGTCGGTGTGGTGAGCTGTGCCGCATGGCAGTGCAGGAGGGTTCTGTGTGGTCAGAGAACCTCACTCGTGAGGAACCACTGTTTGTCCGGTGGACGGGGAGCCCTCCCCCTCGTTCACAGTGTGCGCTTGTGCTAGAGAGGCTGCTCAACAGGAGACTGTGCTGTGGTTTGCTCTCCTGAGAGCTACTATACGATCGACCATTCGTAATGTGCCTGTGAAACTGCTGGATTCTTAGGACAGATGAGCCAGAATTACCCTCTGAAGCCAGGGTCTCCTTCTCTCCCTTGGGCGGTCGTAGCACTAATCCTGGTGTTTCTGGCTCTGATCGAGCTTCGCTGCTCTGGCCCCACAACTGTGGCCCCTGGCCCTCGGCTGAGGGAGCCAGTCGGCAGTGCAGGAGCAGCTCTGGTCCAATTCCTGCATCAGGCCCGTGGCTGCCTGGTCTGGGGCTTTCTCAGTTGACAGAGCTGCCTTTCCTCCACTGAACCACTACTGCCTCACCACTCAACTGTTTTCCGAACAAAGATGGCTGGAATTCATTTAAAATGTCTTCTCTATATATAAAAGGCTAATATGCAAAGTGTCCCCTCGGGAGTTCGACTGGGAGACCGAGAGTTTGACCGGGAGACTGCGCATTCGATCGCTCGCTATGACGTGCGTTGGCCACCAGGGGGCAGTCAGAAGGCCCCAATTGACCAGGCCTAGGGACCCTATCCGTGCACAAATTTTGTGCACCGAGCCTCTAGTTATCATAAATGCTGTGGAAGCTGGCTTTGAGGACCTGTGAAGAAAGGCTACAGCAATAGAGGACTCACAGAGCACTTCGTCCCTGTGAATGTCAGTCCCACTGCAGACGTGAGAGGACTCCAGCCTCAGGTGGTCCCTGTGCCTGTTAGCAGAGATCTGGAGAAAGAAGGCCTTCATGCTCCGCTGGGAAGTAGCCACGAAAAGAGATTGTGCAGATCACAGTGGAAATGGGGGAGGGCCATCTTGGATTTTTTTTATGGTTTTTTTAAAGATATAGTGTGGTAAGGAAAGGGGAGTGTTTTAATCAAAGGCCATTACCATGTGAGGTCCCGGTGCATATCCACAGAAGCAGTGGTGACCCATGGGACGCCTGAATCCTTGACCTTCCCCCTCCCCACCCCCCACTCCTCTCAGGTGAAAAAGGAACCAGTAATCTCAGATTTGTTCAGCATAACCTGCTGGGGCTATAGCCACTGGCATGAAAAGTCTGGGTGTTTTCTCTCTTAGGTCTTGGCCATGCGAGCCCGGGTTCAGGAGAGCACAGCCAGGGAGGAGGAGGAGGAGCATCCGTATGAGCTGCTGTTAAGGGCGGAAACAAAGAAGCTGCCAGCAGTGGACGGAAAAACAAAAGGTACAAACACCCCCCCCCCCCCCAGCAGAAATAACACTAAAGGGGTTCGTACAGTTTGTGCCCCGGGTGGAAGGCGGGGATACTGTTCCTGCAGCCTGGGGGGGGGGGGGGGGGGAGGGGGGGTGCGATCCTTCCCTTGTCAGCACAGGGGTGGGAGTCTGCTTGCCACCTCTCCGCACACGGAGCAAGGGGAGGGTTAGGTGGGCCAGGTGTGGTGGCAGGATTGATTTGGGGTCTCAAGTCATAAACCCTCAGGTTAATGCTGTGGAAAAACAAGTCCAGCAAGTCAGTCCCTTTGGGTCCAGGCTGACAGCACAGACGCAGCTTTGAGTCCTGACCTCAGATTGAGGCACCCTGGGGGGCCGTGATTGGCTGCCACCAGGTAACTGGAGTGCTCTGTCGCCTTGGCCTACTTTCATTGCCACTGCAAATGCAGCCTCCTCTGTGAGGGAGTGAGTGCTGCAGGCCGGGACCCAGCCAGGCCTGTGGACACAGGCACGGTGACAGAGGTGAGTGCGCCCTGCCCGGCAGCCTGTGACCGCCTCCTGAGGAGCAGGAAGGGCGGGCACTTCCCTGCAGGCAGGCAGGCAGGGCGCTCGGCGCCTCTCCTCCGCTCTCTGCCGCTTGCAGGGAGAGGCCCGTCACGGGGTAGCATTTGTGTCTCCTTCCAATCCTAGGACAGCCCATGGTTCAGGTAAGAATGGGGGATTCGAGGGTTTCTTTAGAAGTTCCCTTTGCTAGGCTTGTCAGAAAGTGGGGGAGGCAAAGAGGACATGTGCCTATGTGGGTGACATTGTGGATCTTAATTTTAAAGGTCCCGTTTAGCCCTAGTCAGTTTGGCTCAGTGGATAGAGCATTGGCCTGGGGACTGAAGGATCCTGGGTTCAATTCCGGTCAAGGGCACATGCCCAGGTTGCAGGCTCAATCCCCAGTAGGGGGTGTGCAGGAGGCAGCCGATCCATGATTCTCTCTCATCATTGATGTTTCTATCTCTCTTTCCCTCTCCCTGCCTCTCTAAAATCAATAAAAACATATTAAAAATAAAATAAAGGTCCTGTTTAAAAGGTTTCTCTCTGGCTTGCAGAAACTCTGTGGGGTTTTTAATTTTGCTTTGTTTATTTGGTTTCCATTTGGAGCTTTTTTAAAAAAGATTATCATTTAGACATAGTAAAATTCATCCTTTTGTGGGTAGCTCTGTAAGTTTTGACAGATATAGTCATGTAACTGCTACCATAATCAAGATGTAGAACAGTTTCATCACAGCAAAAACGTCTGTGTCCCTTCATAGTCACTCCTGCACCCTTCCCTTATGCCTGGCAGTCCCCACTCTGATATCTTTCCCCATAATTTTCCATTTTCTAGAATGTCACATAAATGGAATCACACAGTATGTATCCTTTGAGTCTGGCCCTCTCAGCAGGATTCATAGCGATTCATCCATGTTGTTGCATATATTCGTACTTGTGCCTTTTCATTGCTGAGTAGTATTCCTTTGTACCACAGTTTATCCATTCTCTAGTTGAACGACATTTGCTTCAGTTATAGTTTGGGGAAATAACAAAGAAAGCTATTATGAATATTTACATACAGATTTTTGTGTTAACGTAGGTTTTATTTCTCTTGGATAAACACTAGGATTGGCATGGCTGGGTCCTAGGTAAATATATGTTTACGTTTATAAGAAACTGCCAATTCATTTTCCAGGGAGATTGTACCATTTTGCATTCCCACCAAGTAGATGTTACATATCCTCCCCAGTGCTTAACATTGTCAGGTTAAAAGCTTGTTAGCTGTTCTAATAGGTGTTTAGTGGGATTTCATTGTGGATTTAATTTGTGTTTCCCTAAAGGCTAATGATCTTTGAGTGTCTATCAATGTAATTATCATCCTTATATCTAAAAAAGTGCTCAAATCTTTTGCGCATTTAAAAAAAATGTTTTTTTCTGTTTTTTTCCGTTACTGAGTTGTCAGTTTTCTTTATACATTTTTTTGGACAAAAGTTCTTTATCGGTTCTGTGATTTTCCCCTGGTCTGTGATTTATCTTTTTATTCCCTGAACGGTGTCTTTTGAAGAGCATAGGTTGTTCATAGGGACGTCCAATTGTTTGCCCAGATTTGTTGAAAAGACTCTCCTTTCTCCATGGAATTACCTTTGCCTCTTTGTTACTCTTTCTCAGAATTATTTAAGATATTCTAGTTCCTTTAGCTTCCCATTCAAAAATTTAGAATCAGCTTGTTGATTTCTACAGGGTCCTGCTGGAATTTTTGTTGAGATTATGTTGAATCTATATAGCACTTAGGGGAGAATTGATATCTTAATGTATTGAGTCTTCCGGTCATGTGGTAGATTTTTAATTAAAACATTTAGAGAGTGGAGTCGAGCACCGATGCCTTCTCTGGTTGTTTAATAATAAATCCATACGGAAATTAACCCTTTGTTAACATAAAAAAACCATTGAAACCTGTAAAGAATTTTTGTGAGTTCATTTGAGCCAAACTGTCGACATATGCCGGGAAGCAGAACCTCAATGAATTGAGATAGTGCTCCGGAGAATGGTGGGGTTACATCCGTATTTATACATGAAATTCACTGGTGACAGATTAAGTTACATGAAATTCATTGGTGACAGATTAAGGAGGAGGGATAAGCAAAGCAGGGAAACCCCTGGGATTGGATAAAAAGTAAAATGATGGACACACACTTAGGTGGGTGCAGGAACAATTAACATGATGATGAAGGAATTTATGGTACCTGTCCAGATACAGGGAAGTCACAAGTTACCCAGACATTTCAAGGGAATGTTATCATAGATGCAAAAAGACAGATAGGCTCAGTTAAGGTAAAGGTTGACCTTGTCAGTGAAGATACTGGCCTAGGACGTCACTGCCCACCATAACTGCTTTTAGTTAAAGTTTAATTTCAGACCATCCTTTGTGGTGACTTTAGGTCTCCGAGTTTGCAAGACCGCCATGCAGGCCTCTCCTGAGCTTGTCAGGTCAGCATGTGGCCCCTTTCGTCCACACCTTAGAGAACAAGTAATTAATGGAATGTGTGTTTGAAAACAGTTCTCGGTGGGGGAAGAATTATTAGCATCATGAAGGGGGAGGATTCTAATTCTCCCTCCCTCCTTCCCTTCTTTCCTTTTTGTTAAATCTCACCAGAGGGTATTTTTTCCATTGCTTTTTCAGAGAGAGAGAGGAGAGTGAAACACATTGATTGGTTGCCTCCTGCATGCACCCCTACTGGGGGCAGGGCCACAACCCAGGTACATGCCCTTGATCAGGAATCAAACTGAGACCCTTTAGTTTAACTACTGGGCAACATCGGCCAGGACAATTCTTTCTCGCTTCCAAAGGCTTGGTCTAGAACTCTGACAAGGTAGTGGGCTCAGCCTTTGGAAGGAAGAAAAAGGGAAAGTCGGTGAACTTTAAAGAGGGCCAGTCTGCTTGGCTGCCAGGTGCCCTGGGTAGGGATGTGCTTTCCCCAGAGCGAGAGACCTCGGATTAGGAAGGGAACTCGCCGCTGAGGAGAATTGCAGCCTCACATGTAGTCCTGCCGTGCTCGGGCCTCGTCCAGCCCTGCAGTGCGGCTACCGTGGGAGTGGGTGGCCCGGGCGCAGGGTTAACTGAGCCACAGCGAGGGGCGTGCCTGCCTCCAGGCTAGCTGCTGGGATCCAACACTGAATATGAAACGGACTCTACCAGTTACTCAGGAGCCTGGAAGGAATGCCCACTGGGGATGGTAAAAGTGAGGCAAGTCATTTCCCACTAACGTCAGGATCTTAGGCAGCTTTTATGAATTAAAATACCAGTTTTCAAAAGGTCATGTTAATGAGACTACCAGAGCTTTCAGACTTCCAAGAAACTACAGTGTGAGGGGTGGGATGTGAGATTTTTAAAAATCATTACATTTGTATTAGCACACTGGAAAAAAGTTTGAAAAAATACAGAAGTGAATACAAATAAAATGTTCAGATTCTCCTCGCCTCCCTGCTGCTCACAGTTGCCAGAGGCGACCACAGTGGGAATGTGTGGTGTGTACTCCGGGCCATTGGCTATTTTTATACAAAAGCATCTGTGTGAGATTGTTTTATGTGTTTCCGACCTAAAATGGGGATCATATTTTACAAACTATTTTGCAAACTTGGTTTTTTGGTTTGGTTTTGTTTTTACTTTGTTTATAGATTATGGGTACAATTTTGTCTTAGTTCTTAGAAATCTACTTTTTCTTTTTTAATGGTTAAATACCCCATGACTCATTTTCCCATTCGCCATGATGGATGGTTCAATTGCCTCCAGTATTTCTCTGTGATAAATTATGCTGCTGTGGACATTCCATACACACATTCTTACATGCCGATAAGACTGTTTCTTAAGAGACTGATAGAGAGGGGACTAGTCAGCCAGGGTAGGTGCACGTCCGGGTCTGTTGGAGCTAAATTAACTCCTTCAGTGGTGAGTGAGCTCACTCGCTTCCCCACCTTCACCGGCACATTATTCCTCTAATGTTTTTCACCATGATAAGCAAGGAGTGTGTTTTGAAATTGGTATTTGCATAATTAGTGAACTTGAGCATCTTGTCGATTAGTGTTCTATATTTGGTCTGCGAGTTGCCAATTTTTTCTCTCGATTTTACTACGTAGAAATTATTGGTGGTGGAAACATTTCATATAAGTACTGATAATATTTTGCCAAAGTGATACTCAGAGGAAAGTGTATACCCTTAAATTTATTAGTTAAAAAACGAGAAAGACTAAAACTTAACCAAGAGAAAGTAGCAGAGAGTAATTAATAAAGGTAAAGCAGATCATTTACTTCACATACTTTATGGAATGCACATTACACTTGAGTTAAATAAAGAAAAAATAAAAGCAGAATTAATAAAGTGAAAAAACAAAGCAATAGGCTTGATCATTACAATGAAAACTTGTTTCTAGTTTAAAAGATATCTGACAATTCTGATCAAGAAAAGAGAAATAAAAAACACATTAGAATAATAT